AAATAAAAAGCCAACAACACCGAACCATTCTGGGTTTTTTGGCGGGGAGGAGAAAGGGTGCTGATGAGGGACTGGGGAAAATGCTTAGAAAGGAATCCTTACTATTGAAATGTTCTGAGAAAGAGGCAGAGTCAGCTCCTTTTGGCCAAATTCCTGATAACCAGAGCTGCATGTACTAGTCTGTAAGCTATTTCGTGGTTTGATTAATCAATGCAAATAAATAAAATTTAAAGTAATACTCTTCACTTTAAGGATCCTCCCATTCAGTCCTAGTTCGTCGGTTTGAGACATTCCAAGGAGCAGCCAGCAAGGTATTCCCACTCACCCATCCACAGACCTTGGGCTAGAAAATGTGGAAAGAGAAGGATAAAACCCAGAGTAGCTTTTCCCTGTCCCCTCACCCCTGCACAAAATCTGTAAGTTGGAAGGAACTTTAGATAATCCAGTCTCCCCTTTTACTTCTACTTCTGTGGAGAATGGGGGGTTCAGAGATGAAGTAACTTACCCACGATCCCAGGGACAATGGGGCCAACCTGGGCCAAGAACTCAATGCTCCTCACTCTAGTTGAGCCCTCCTCTCTGCAGTAATCAGCCTCATTAATATTTTCTAGTCTCATTTCATTAGAGATGTTGCTGAAACCTAACTGCTTCACAGTCACATAAAAGCAATTTATTTTGTGGGACAAATACAAGTTTTTGGTTTAGATTTGCTAGTTGGCCTACACAGGACATGAAGAAGCAAAGACCACCACAGAAAAACAGCCCAGATGTTCTTGGCCAAAGAGCAAATACGCGCAACTGAGGGCCAACCACCAAGATGGCTTTTGAGGAAGACTAAAAAATCAGAGTGAATTGGTAGAAAGTTAAGGGTCTTAGTAGCAATGCACAGAATTGTGTCATGGGTATTGACTTCTTACCTGATGTTCTAAATTAATTTTAAAAACCACAGGATGGTTAATGCCAGCGAGTTTCGGTTATTTTAACCAAATGATGTATTGAAAGTATACATCTGTGAAAATGAAATGCATCAGTAACACTATGTTGGACCTTATTGGTTGGTGTAAGCCAGCAGCTGACACTTGCAAATTCAACCTGGAGAGGGCACTGTTTAAGTGCCCCCTGGGTACTCCTTCTAGGATGCCTTCTCCAGGTAGATTATATGTCAGTGGTTTTCAACTGGGATGATCTCCCAGCCCCTTCCAGGAGACATTTGGACTTTTGGCAGTGTCCAGAGACACCGTTGGTTGTCACAACTTGGAGGGAGGGACTGTGCCCAGCATCCAATGGGTAGAGGCCAGGGATGCTGTGATCATCTTGCATACATGGGGTAGCCCCCCACAACAGAGAACTATCTGGCCCCAAATGTCAGTAGTGCCCGGGCTGAGATCCCTGGATTCAGTGAAGCAATGAATGTTTTCAGGAAAGCCCCATGGGATGGCTTTGGTCGGTAGCAATGTGTCCCTGTGGTTGCATTCTCTGTGACACTAGAAAGGAGGACATGGTTCTTTGTTCTCGGAGATGCACAGCAACAACCGAAAGGCAGTGGAACTGCTGATTGCTGGGAGCTCAGAAATGAAGATGAAACTGGCTGGCTTTCATTTGATTTATCACTCGGGAACACGGAAAGACATTTCTCTTTCATTATCTGCTGCAATTTTCTACATGGATGATTGCACTGGTAGATTTCCCTTATATACAAGATGTGTTCCTGAAAAGTTGTTTGTAAAATCAAACTTTAAATACAGTCAGGAAATTCAGCAAACACTAAGGAGCCAGTGAACACTTTTAAAGTGAAAGGCCTTTTAAATAAAGCCCTTTCTCAAAGAGGAGCGAGGCTATAGGTTACATTTTTTAATGTAAATGCTTTATTTTTCCCGCACATTTTTCTTACAGAGCTCTGTAACGTTTATGTAAGAAATAGTTTCTTCTTCCTCCTTCCTTTCCCTGACATTCATTTCATTTAAAAAAAAAAAAAAAGAGGGGGAAAGTTAATAATGGAGTGTCTGAATTTGGGAAGGTCATTGATCAGTCTGTCCATTATAAAGTTCAAAAGATGACTGCTGGCTTACAAATGGTTAGAAAATAGGACTTGGGTACATTCTGAAATCATTAATTTTTTATCTCAGACTTTTTTTTTTCTTCAGTTACTGACCTTTGGCTAGAAAGAGCAGGTGTACTCAGCCCCTCCGTCACCCCATGAGTGTTTGTCGCACCAGAAATACCCAGTAACACTCAGCCTCTTCACCGAAGCAGGGTGCAGGGGTGCCGGTATCAGCAGAGATAAGGGAGTGGTTCTGAAGGAACCCCATGGCTTTCTCCTTATCAATCGCTGCCCTAGGGCAACATCCCTGGTGTAGTGTATAAATCACTAACTCAGCAGTGCACGGGGGGCAGGAAGGAGGAAATGTATTCGATAAGGCTACCATTAGTGTCACTTCAGTGATAGGAGGGTACAGAAGTGTGACCCAGCGAGGACAAAGCCACTGCCCCGGGGGAGGAGCCAGCCAGACCAGAGGCAGACGGAGACCTGGGTCTAACCTTCATCCCACTGGAGGAGGGAGGGGCTAAGGGCCGGGAGATGCTAGAGAGGATCCCACCTCGACCGTCCAAGCCCGTGTGGCTCCAGCATTGAGGCAGGTAGTGGAGTCATCATGAAAGATGGCGTCACACACCTGCTCTTCCAGAGACAGTCACCCATTTTTGTCCCACAGAACCCCAGGAGTAGGAAGGAAGTCACTGTGAGCAGCACTTTACAAATGAGGAGACCAGAGCACCAGAAAAGGCAATGACTTGCCCCAGATAACTCTTAAAAAGGGTTGTGACTGGAGCAATGAGTCTTCGGACTGGAAGCTTGCGCTTGCCTCCAAGACAGCACATTCCCCTCACTCAGATGACCTGGCCTCAGGAGGCACCACGCCCCGGCTGTCAGGAGTCCTGGGTTCTAGTCTCAGCTCTGTCTTCAACTCACTGTGTCCTCATGAGACAATCACTGCCCCTCTTAGAGTCTCAATCGTCTGATGTCGGACATGAGGGGTTGATCAAGATGTCCTAGGTCACCATGTGACATAGGTACAGTCAGGCTGCAGGAAGAGTTGTCAGAAGACAACAGGAGGCATCTGCTCACCCTGGGAGGATCAGTCTTGGCTGTATTATTGTGCCAGGAACTCTGTTTTATTTGTTATTCCCTTTGAGCCTCATAAGACCTTTATGAGGGACACGTTGATGGACACTCCATGCAGCAGATGAGGTGATGGAAGCTCAGAGAGGTGAAGTAGACTTGCTCCAGGTCACTGTCACAGTCTGCTCAGGCTGTCCTGCAAAATACCACAGACTAGGGGGTTCAAACAACAGATACTGATTTCTTATGGTTCTGGAATCTGGGAGTCCCCAGATCAAGATCCAGCAGGGCTTGGTTTCCAGTGAGAGCTCCCCTCCTGGCTTGCAGATGGCCACCTTCTTGCTATGCTCCTCACACAGCCTTTCCTCTGGGTACACACAGTCGAGGAGAAAGAGAGCTCTCTGGTTCTCTTATAAGGACACTAACCTGTCAGCTCAGGGCCCACCCTTAAGAACCTACTTAACCTTAATCACTTCCTAAAGACCATATCTCCAAATACAGTGTCACAGGGGGGTAGAGTTCAACATAGGGATTTGGTGGCAATTGAGGGGTGGGACACAATTCAGTCTGTAGCAGTCCTACAGCAAGAAAATGATTTGAAGTCAGGCCATGTCCCTCTGTGCCTGCTTTCCTAAATACCACTATGTTTTACTTGCCCAGAGAGCTGAGCTTGGGCAGAGATGGCTGGGTACAGTCTCTGGACTTCTGTCTTTTGGTCTCTCAGCTGTTCAATACGCCCGCCTCCCCTTCCCTCCCACCCCACCCTACCCCTCCCTTGCCCAGCTTCTCTGCTCCAAACCACTGGGTACAAGGGTGGGAGAGAGGATCTTCCTTGAACCAAACTTTCTGAACCCTGAATGATGCCAGGGCTCAGTCAGTGGCAGGCTAGGGAATGGTGCACCAAGAACCGGCCTATGCCCCAGACTGAAGCCCAGGACACTAGAGGAAAAGCAAAAGAAGCACAAGCTGAGCCTGCAGTCCTCTTTGGGCCCAGTCCAGTGCTGGGCCCTCCATAGATGGTTGCTGGTTGAATGAAACCATGCGGGCCCAATTCCCTGGCTCCTGAGATAAGGGAATAGTTGCTTGTCACTCCCATCGGGCAGGATGGGAACCTAATCCACACTGGCCAGCCATCTCCCAGAGCAGCCATGGCCGTGCTTGTCACTTACTCATTATTAAAGACTTAGCAGTAAAAACAAGCCTTCTGGCCTCATGCACAGGCTTCCACCAAGCCAGACAACAAACTAGTCATCCACCTGGAATGCCTCCTTTCTATAAATTACAGTATCTGCGTGTTTTCTTTAAAAACTATTCTCTTCCCCACTTTCTCATGCTTTACCGTTCCCACTTGTGTTAAAAGGTGGTCTTACAAAGGTTTTCATAACTTTAAAAAAAACAAAAACAAAAAAACTCAGAAGGACAGTAGGCCCAAGGATAGCATTCAGAAAATGAAAATGTGTCATTTTATCTTTCCAAACTGTCAAAGGTGGCAAGGAGTACCAGCCCCCCCCCCCCCCCCCCGCTTCCCACGTTTACAGAGGCTGAGAGCAACCTTTTATGCACAGAGCTTCTGGAGCTCTGTCCAGCATCACCGTGATCACGTGGTTGCTAGTTGACTGTTGGCACCTCTCTACTGTGAGCCAGAAGCCTCACCCCAACTAGTTCCAATCGGGGAAAAAAAATTTTTTTTTCTTTTTTTTTTTTCAAGTAAAATTCAACCTTGAGCATCTTGGAAAAGGCAAGAGCCCACATTTTCTATGAGTCATCGCTCTTCCCAGTGGCAGGGCTCCCCGGGACGCGTGTTGTCCTCCGAGCTGCACCGAGGCGTTTCTGTCTTGCTCTCGTCAGCCTCGTTCACCATCTCCGTGGTTGGCTTTTGCAGGTGTGAAAGCTGTGGAGCCGTTTTCCACGCCGAATGCAAAGAGAAGTCCGTCCCCTGCCCAAGATGTGTCCGCCGAGAGCTGCAGAAGAAGCAGAAATCTTTCTGGCGGAGGCTGAATGTGGACGAGAGCCTGGAGGAGGCTTGCAACATGTTCGAGCTGTCCTACCAGAACACCTGACTCAGCAGGAGCCCGAGGCCAGGGCCTGACCTCTCGCTGATCCAGCAGCCCGGTGGCTTCTTTGCTAGCCAGTTAGATCCCTCTGGAAGAAGAGTATGTCTCCTGTTCAGCTAGATAGAGATATATATTTACACACATTCCCACATACCTGTTCGTCCCGTATGTATGTTCTGTGTAAATCGCTGTCCGTGGAGCCTCTGTGGCTCAAAAAAAAAAAAACAAAACAAAACAACTACCATTAGCTGAATCACACTTAGCCCTGAATTTCAGCAGCTTGCTCCCAAGCAAAATGTGGTTTACACACAAGGCTTTATAGGTCAGACTTTTTTTTTTTTTTTTTTCCTCTCAGGGGCTGTTTTGTTACACAGGACACAGGAGGAAGCTTACCTACGGGACCACAGAACTTTGGGTTATTTTTGTGTTATTTATTTTTAGCCATTGCAGAGGACGAAGTCACTGAGGCAAGCTCATCACAAACTCATCATCGTTTGTTTCATGTGAAAATTTTCGGAACACAGGAGTGATGCCTGGATGGCCCAAGGGGCCCCACGTCCCTGACGGCAGCACCTCGGTTTCTACCACACAGGTGGGGATCCCCTCAACCGAGCCGAGTGGCTCAGAAGTGAGGCGACTGAGCTCCCTCTGCAGAGCATGCACCCCTAATTTATGAGGAGAGCTCCTTCTGGCTCTGAGGTTGATCTCAGGTTTTTTCCTGAGGGGAAAAAAAAGGGACCTCTGTGACCAATACCTGCATGTTGCCAGTCTGTTTGCTGGTACGAGTCCCAGCGCTACCCAATGACACGGCGCCCCTCCATATTTGGTTGAAAACACAGCTTTCGAAGAGTTTTCCCGGGGTCTCATGGGTAATAGTTATGATTTTGTAATAGTGCTGGCCTGAGGAAATTTCCTGCGATTGTGGTTAAATACATCGGTTTGTAGACCTATGGGTATAGTGCGTACCTTCTATGAGATGGTCTTCGGTGTCTTTTCACAGAATCTTGTGTAGGCATTTCCTACTTATTTATTTTATATACTTTATTTATCGTTGTTCTTCACTGCACTTTCACTTGGACCCTTCATTTGTCAACTTTGCCACTTCTACGCTTTTTAAATTGTTTACAAAATCAAAGTAACATGGGACGTCAGAACACGTTAGACTATTAAGAAAATACCAAACTTATAAGTAATGAATTCAGTGTAATAATATTGTTTAAATAAATATACACACACACGCATAATTGCCACCTTAAAGTGAAACAGGAAGTGCTAAAATCATATCATAGGAATAGAAAATATAATGAACTGCTTCACCACTTGGCTGAGTAGGGAGCCCCCACCGCAGTGCCCTCGTAGGAGCCAGCGTAGCAGTGGTTGTGACCAAAGTATCAGGGGGATGGCGCTGGAAATCGTGGCTCGGGTCCTCCCACCATAACTCCACAGCACAAGGATACACTGATACTGAAACAATTCTTAGCAGACTATATGAGACGACTCTTTCCACTGAGCTGATGCCTCCAACACCTTCCTGGTTTGGTAGTTTCGCTGCTGTTAGGATCTGGAAAGTCAGTGGCTCACACCGTACACGATACATTTAACCCCACAGCCATGTTCCCTGACACCTCTTCCCCCCAGATCCTAACTCTTGATACCTCTGTCCATTTAGAGGCGAGACATTTCAGACAGACTTTCGTGCAGCCTGCCGGAAGTCAGCACAACCTGTTGCCGGTTCCGTGGGCCCCAGACCACTCGCTTCAACTTCACAGCGCGCCATTGCGCGTGCATTTTTTTTTCCGATTCTACAGCAGCCATAACCAAGGGCGTATAAACTTCCCCAGAGGCCAAGACCCCATTCACAAGGACACCTTACGGTGCCTTTTATTCTTGGAAAACCAGGTTGACTCCTCCCCCGCCCCCTCCAGTTACAGAGAATGCAGCACACGAAAGATAAAGGGTGGAAAAAATCTCAAACAAGCACTTGGCAAACAGGCAAACAAATTTGATCCTCTCCTCCTTTTTCCTCCCCTTCGTGAAATACAGTATTTATATTTTCCAGCCTCAGAGAAGATAGTAGAACATGATCTTTCACAAGAGAGTTATAGACCTGCTTATTATAAAACAGATGTGCTCCGATGGCAAAGTGCCTTTCTCCTCCGCCCCCAGCTCCCTGTCACCGTAGCTTACTTCTGCCTTCGCCGAAATTAATGTATCCAAGGTCCCAACTGTCAGCGAGGGTCCCCAGCGCAGCGCGTTTGCAGTCATGAAGCGCAGGCCCCCCTCCTCCCAGCCAGCACGTTTGCTCTCCCTCTGGACAGATTTCCTGTCCCACCCTGCAGGCACCTAGCGGCAGGCCTGCCAAGGAGGTGAGATTCCAGATCCCTGTTCTAAAGGCCTTTGTTTTCACGGGGGCACCCGCCTAAAGGGCTCTGCTAAACACTGGCCTCCCCTGGCAGCTCCTCCTTGGGAGGAGTTAGAACCTTCTACCCACATCACTTTCAGCTTATTTTCAAAAGGGCACCAAAAAAAAAAAAAAAAAAAAAAAGAGAGAGAGAGGTACGCTCGCCCTTGGCTACCCAGAAGCAGGACTGCATCCCAGCCGCTTCTGTTTTCTCTCCTTCTTGTCCGCCCCTGACAGCCTGGCCGGTGCCGTCTGCCGGCCTACACGGCTCTCAGCCACCACCACCAAAATCTGATAGGACAGAGTGGAGCCAGCTCAGGAATTGGGTCTGTCATGAAAAATTCCAAATTGCTGTTTTCCAGCCCAGAACGCCTTGGAACACATGAACGCCCTTACTGTTTTCAACCCAAACAAATGACTTGGTGCACTGTTAGGTAATTGTTCTACTGCTTAGAAACTATCGAAACAAAAGCAAATCCGTGGATTACCACCTCCTTAAGACCAAACTAATACCTGCTTTCCTTCACGTTCCCTTTCTCATCCCATATTAAATATCTCGCACATAAAACACACAAGAAAATGGCCAATTAATCTCCTAGAGCCGGCGGCCGACTGGAGGAACCTCTGTTCGCTTGAAAGGCCCATTCCCTGGTGGATCACTTGAGGAAATCCCTCCTAACGGTGCCAGAAACTCATGTGTGAGACAGTCCAACCCTGGTAAAATGCTGGCATCTAACCCTGCTGTGGAGAAGCCAGTTCCCGAAATAGACCGCAGTTGCACCACTGCAGGAAGGCCACAAAGTACTTTAAAAGCAGTCAACTGGAATCGAATCATGTTCTTTCCAGGGCTGATTTTCCCCAAAGTTGAAAGCCTCTTTATATGAAAACCATGCAAACCCTCGTCATCCCCCTTGCCTCACTGCGTTTCAGGAGACTGTATTAAGAGTTCTTTTCCATCCGTAAAAGGTCATATTGTTAGGAGCTTTAATACTTGATTCGCTGACAGGGCAGTCGCCTTCGGATCCGACTAGACCAGGCCTCCCCCAAACAGGGAACATCATCAGCGTTGGGGATTTGTGGTTTCCAACTAACTCAGTGGTATTTCGGACTCCTGCAGAGGGGACTGGCTGTGACTCCTTTCCGGCTGCGGCTCGAACCGTGGTGTTCAGGTCATGCCGCAGCCATAGGCAGCCTCTGCCACCGAGAGGGAGTCCATTCCGACGAGGTCTGCGTGCGTACACACTGAACACTGACACCCCCTTCTTGTGCCTCCTTGAAAAGGTTCGGCTTCCAGACCTGTGGGGTGGTTCTCTACCTGTTGGCCAAACAGGGCCCTGTGAGAGTTACTGCCATCGGGTAGGCCTGGATGCCACACGAATGCTTCCTGCAGGGAGAGCCATTATCTGAGGAAGCCAGGGTACATTCTGTTCCTAATTTCGGGTGAAGCCAATGCTGCTGTTCGCAAGTTTGAGCGGAATCGTTCATCGCCACCGCTCTGCCGCACTTCGCCGCAGTATCTGGATAAGGAAGTAAACCTTCAGCTCTTGATTCTAATACTGCCGAGAGTCGGCACAGGGGTTATTTTATTTATTTATTTACTTATTTATTTTTACTTCTCCCAGTAAAGAGTGATGCATACAGTTTCCCCCCTTATTTCTTGAATTTTCTCAGTTCTTTTCTAATTCTAAGATAATGTCAAAAAGTAGAGAACTGGGGGTGAAACAGAGAGACACGAACACACTGTCCTTTGCGTGAACTGAGTCACCAGAGGTACTGTTTTCCTTCCCTTGGTACTTGTTAACAAGTAGGCATTAGCGCACCGTGGACATTGGACATCCTTCTAGCCCCGTGTCTGATAGAACTCGCTGGCCTAGGTTGGGCCCAGTGACGGGTGACTGAGCCCCGTTCAGGTAACTTACGCAGACAAGTGTTGATTCCTATCATGGGGTGCGGTTAAGTCCTGGCACCCAGCAATTCTGAATGGTAGACAATTCCAATGTCATTGTTTTCAGACCCCCTGACTTGAAGGGTTTTCTTTAGTGTCTTTTAAAGACTTTATTCATGAAAGACACAGAGAGGCAGAGACACAGGCAGAGGGAGAAGCAGGCTCCATGCAGGGAGCCTGACGTGGGACTCGATCCTGGGACCCTGGGGATCACAACCTGAACCAAAGGCAGATGCTCAGCCATTGAGCCACCCAGGTGTCCCTTCTTCAGTGTGTCTTAGTGGGTGCACACCACGGTAAAGTCTAAGTCACTGTTAAACTCTAGGTTAGGTAAAAAGTCAAAAGTGTGGCATCCCCTCCTCAGCACAACTGTAGTTGTCAGGGATTTTATTTAAAATGGGTTCCCCCATGATGGTATTAGGGAGCACTCTCCTCATCAGTTGGCCTCCGAAGTGAGGCGAGGCACTGTTAAACCCCAGGAAAGGGGCAACTGCTGTTTGGCTTTGGTTCCTCCCTGTGAAAAGAGAAGCCACCCTGTTAAAAGGTGTGGAAGCCACAGCCATTGCCCAGGGGAGAAGATTCAGGCGCCTACAGCGCCTCTTAGCACAGTGAAGACTCCTTCCCTCCCCTCCCTCCCCCCCCCCATAGCGCTCTAGACCAGCCTCTCCCCTTCCTTGCCCTGGTCCCTAGAGCTAGGCCCCCCACCAGCCGCAGCCCCCCCCCTTGCAGCCCCAGGAGACTGCGCTGCTCCCCCCACTTGTCCTCCCCGCAGGAGTGCCTTACAGTACCACCTCGTGCTTCTAGCCGCCTCCACTGACCCACTTGAAGGCCACACAGCTTCCTCCTGCCAGCCACCATTACATGGGTGCGCTGGAACCTGCACATTCCTCCAGCATGGCAGACCCTTCCCCTTTGCTTAACCTGGTGCCTTAAGCTCGGGAGGGAAGGGTTCCTTCGGGGAACACATTGTGAGAGTAGAATGCTACAAACATGGGCTTCTAGCTCTGTGGACACTCATATCAGGAAATACAAAAGACATAGCAGTAATGTTTTACTTTGTTTTATGCTGGGGTTGTTTCTCTTTTCTCTTTTAAGTCACTCTTTTTTTTATTTATTTGCTTGCTTGCTTTCATTAACCAAACTCAGGGGAATGTCATGCGGTCACCAAGGCATGAGTGGAGGCATTAAACCAGTCAGCCAGATTTGAATCTGTAAAGTCACTGAACTCAGCCTTTTTCAGGTTAAAAAATGACACAAACACAGAATTTTCTTTTCTTTTACTGTATAAAGGTTTCCTGCTTTACTTCACCACCTGTTTTCCAAGTAGGAAGTGGGAAGCCTCTTGGATACATTGTGATAAAAATGTTTCTGGGTGGTGTGGGCGGTCCACTTAGCTATTAATATTTGGCTTTTGCTGCTGGAGGTCTAGGTTCTGATTTCAGTCACCTACCACAATCTTATTTTAAATAGCCAGAAGCCTACCATACAAGATTTTTTTTTGGGGGGGACAGGAAAAAAGGAGGGAAAATGTTTAGTCTGCAAATGAAGAGCATTAAATGTGGTGCAGAAGAGTTCTACACCACTCATTCTTCTGCTCCTGGGTC